TAACATCAAACTAACTTGTGAGTGACATGAAGCCATAAAATTGAAGTACAAAAAACTCGCATGCCATCTCAAAGTTGTCGTTAAGAGTTCCAAGCACTGTACATGACACATGAATGGTAAGCGATGACGTAACGTGCTGACTGCGCGTTCTGATAAAGCCAACTCCATAAGCACGGATAGGATGAATCACGGCAGTCAAGGACAAACAGAGATAATTCCTCTCAGCTGATAGGTATAATCCGTGGACCCGCTAGAAGACCACACTTTTCTCGGGCCATTATCTCCGTAACCGTTCAACTTTGGACATAGGTGTTTTGGGTTATATCGGCATACTTTAACATAAGGAACACCCTCCCGAAGTTTGGTCCATTCCTCCTGGGACACCCTGTATATACAAATATCAATTGAAAGTCTTTTATACAATATACCATATAAACAGCATTATAAAAAGTTTAGTTCATTTTGTATTTAAAATACTCTTCCAACATATAAAATGACTGGGAATACAATAAATTTTTCAAGGCCAATTTAAATTGTTTTGTTTTATGGGACAGATCTGTTATTGGAAGAGGTAAGATGTTAAACACCTTAATCCCATCATAATAAGTTCCCTTCTGAAAAATTGGCAGATGAGACAATGGATGATGCAAATCAGATTTGGTCCTAGGATTAATATTGTGTACCTGAGAATCTACTTTAAGAGGAAATTGAACTTGGGCAATGTTTGTTACCATTCAGTCCACAACCCTTTGTCTTCTCGCCTGCTCTCCAAAAACATAAAAATTAGAATATACAAAACTATAATTTTGCATGTGGTTCTGTATAGGTGTGAAACTTTGTCTCTGACATTAAGGGAGGAACATAGACTGAGGGTATTTGAGAATGGTGTTGAGGACGGATTTGGTGACGAAGCATCAGGTACCCAGAACAGTAGTACCATCATACTCGCAAATAGTTCCACACAGACCTCTGATAGCAAGTGCATTGATGATTTTAGTCTTCAGGACATCTACAAGGTCCCACAGTTGGATCATTGTTCACACCAGACTACAAATAAATGGCTCCAAATGTGTTCACAAGGTGATCATCAGACAGCTGTTGCCAGGTATTCACCACAGCACCCTCCTGAAAGAATACTGAAGAGGAAATTAGTGGCCTTCCTTACATGATGGACTATCGTACTTCTTCAGATTTGAAAATAACACACTTTGCTTTAAAGGGACTGCCATTATAAAGATTTTGTATATTTGAATAAATGATTCCTCACAGCAAAGTCTTTACCATCTTATTCTCTTACAAATCATATTACTGATAGTGTGTTCTGCTTTTCAAACATTTTTAATTACCCTAAAAACCTCTGACATATTCTGTACAACTTGTGTATTGATAAGATCGTACTGTAGCATCCTGTTGCACTCTTCCATTTTATTATAAATCTTATTTTACAGTTTTATGTGAAACTATTTATTAACTTTAAGTTTAAAATTTAAAACTTAAAAAGTTGCACATAAGACAGTAATGTAAGATTTATAATACAATTGTATATTGATGTACAGTTTCATAAGTAATGAATGATGATGACAGTGACGTTTGCTTGATCACAGCTGGGTTCTGGGGACAATCACTTCGATAATTAGCTCTCAATATTCTCCTTAGCCACTTCTTTCATAACAGCACATAATTCATAGTATAGAGTGCAGTGGTCCTTACCTGTAGCCACTATAGTGTAGTGGCTTGCTGCAATGATTGGTATGCCTGAGTTCCCCATCAGAAGCATTTATGAGGGGGTACCCAAAAGAAACCGAACTTATTTTTT